GTAATATTTGTTTTCTTCTTTGGCGTGTTCTGTCCTTCCACATTTTTCTTCGGTGAACATGTCTTATTTTGGTTTGTTGGGACTTGTTTTGTTTTTGTTTTTCAGGACTGGGAATTGAACCCAGAGCCTTGCACAGCCTAAGGAAATGCTCCACCCCCAAACCCCACCACCAGCCCTCTTTACTTTCAAGACAAGTTGCCCAGGTTGGCCTTGAATTTGCCATCCCCCTGTCTCAACCTCCTGGAGTAGTTGGGATTAGTACTCTTGTAGTTGTGAGCAATTAGGCCTGACTCAAATACATGTCTGTAGCAACAATAAAGATGCATGCGTGCGGGCGTGTGTGTGTGTGTGTGTGTGTGTGTGTGTGTGTGTGTCAGACCGTTGCATGGTCTTCACCACCTAGAGAAAGCATAGCTCCTGGAAGTGCTCGGGTGCCCCAGTCCCTTCTGGCTTGCACTTAGCTAGCTGTCTCTCCCAGGGTCTGCGCAAACCTGCTCATGTCTCTTGTCTCACCTCACCTTTTCTGGTCCTAGCATCTTTACGCGATCAACTTCCTCCACCTGGAATGTTCCCTGTGGTCAGACTCCCTATCCCACCTCAGCAAACACCACCTGCCCCAGCCTGCTTTTTCCTTGCTACATTCTTGGTCTCAGTACCCTTGGGGCCTCCTGGAAACCAACATCTGGTCAGATCAGTAACTTTCTGTGCAGTGAAATTAAGCCCTAATATATCACTGAGGTTGAGTTAAAGTGATTAACTTAGCAGAGGGGCCCTGAAGTCAGCTGGCAGGAGAGCCCCGGAGAGAATCCTGCTGGCTCTTCTCCCTGCAACTAGAGGTTTGGTGCCCTTTCTCCAAGAAGGTAGGAAATACTGCTAGCCTGAGCCAAAGGAGGTAATGCTTCTGGGCCAAAGCACTACAGGCTTGGGTTCCATAGAGCTGCTGGGTAACATCAGGAAAGGTATTGGAGGCCTCTTTTTCGGGCAATGGGTCAGTGATGGCCTTATCTAGGACTGAGGAGTCTTGCAGAATGCAGATGGGTCAGGGCTGACAATGGAAAAACCAGGAAGGTTCTATATATTGTCTTGAGGCTCCAGAGCTGATGCTGCACAAACATGGCTGCTGAATCTTGGCCTTTGTGGGCTGGGGTGGGGGGTAACTCTGAGTTTAGGTCCAGAGACAAACAATATCTTAGACCAGCCTGGGAACATTTGGAGCTGGGAGTCTCCTTAAGTTCTTCGAAGTTCTTTCTGTCCCTTCTCCTGCTGAGGTCCCTCTATTCTTTAGATTACTTCTGGACTGCCCTTGCGCCTAGAGATAGCCCAGATAACGGGGTCTTTTTCTACTGTTAGACCTCATCCTTGCTGATTTGCCTTGTTTTGTATTGTCTTAGGGTAGAATATGGGCTTGAGACGGGGCCTCTATGTGGCCCAGGCTGGCCTCAAACTCTTGATCTTTATGCCTTAGCCTCCCAAGTGCTAGAACTACAGGTGCTAGCTACACAGCTTGGCCCCACCCTTGTTTCAGGGCTCCAGTCACCTTCTCTATGAACACCCTCCCACACACCAGCTCACAGACAGCTCTCTTCTCTGTCCTTTGAAGATCCCTACTCCTCCAAGCTTTACACAGAGGAGTTCCTTCACTTCTGAGCTCACTCCTCTCAGCAAAACTGCGGCTTAAATCATTCACTTATGCATCCATTCATACAATAAGAGTTAATCTACTTGGCACTGGGCTAACAGCACCTGCTTTGATTTCCACCATGACTAAGTTGACTCCTGGCTCCATCACTCATTAACTGCTTTGACTCTGAATTGTCACTTTGCTCCTCTGGGTCTTAGTTTCTTTTCTTTTCTTTCTTTCTGTCTTTTTTTTTAATTTTTAATTTTTATTTTTTGCCTTTCGAGAGAGTTTCTCTGTGTAGCCTTGGCTATCCTGGACTAGCTTTGTAGACTAGTCTGGCCTCAGACTCGCAGAGATCCGCCTGCTTCTAGCTCCCTGACTGCTGGGATTACAGGCATGCATCAGGGTCCTGGTTTCTTAATGTTAAACAAGTGCTTCTCTCTCCAAGCATTTTAGTAGATGACTTAGTGTTATAGATAACTGCGGCTTTTGGACCAATACAGAGCAAACATATGCACTGCCTGCCACTAGTATTATTAAGGGTCTCTTGGGTGCCGGGTAATGTGGGACACCAGGAACACACAAATGACGCATCCAGTCTAAAGTGGCACAGGCAGACATATAAACCAGCAATCACACGCAGTGTGACTAATGAAGAAGATATGGCCCCACAGCAGGAAGAGTGGTTACTCAGGCTAGCCTGTAGGCAGGGCAGTCGGGGGAGGCATCTCCGAGCATGAAAGCTCAGAGCCATGATACCAAAATGTGTGGGAGGAGTTGGAGGAAATGGCTTGTAGTATGAGGTGAGCTTCACTGGTACTGCAATGGGAACAGTTACCTGTAGGGATCTGGATGTGCAAACGTAAGCATGGAGAGAGAGAGAGAGAGAGAGAGAGAGCGAGAGAGAGCGAGCACTCTCAGGAAGGGGGCCTCTCCTATTTCAGGGGACAAGCAGCTGGTGGTACTGGCAGAAGAATCAACTGCATTTTATATAGATCACTCTGGAGGACTGTGCAAATGGGAAGAGAAGACCAGAGGTGCCCCAGCCAGAGCTTTCTCTCCAGCCTCAGGGCAGCCTGGCATCCTGGCTCTGGTGGCACAGCTGCCCCTGGTGCCTTATCATTGGCTCCAGATTTCTGGCTGGCAGCCTATCATGGCCTGCAGATCCACCCTCTCTCCTCTCTTCTGCAGTTCCGGTTCTGGACGACTCTCCGGCTCTTCCCACCTTCATTCTTTCCCTGGAACAGGCTCACTCTTGCCAAAGCCTTAACTCCCAACCCAGCTCTCCCAGAGCAGAACGAGCCCATCCCTTCTCCCCTCAGCCTCCCCACCCCACCTCATCGGACTCCACTTGTTGGGCCGAGACATGCCCCATCTCATTTTCCCATTGATGACTCATGGATCAGGCCGGGTGAGGCCCCAGCTGCCAGAGCAGGGGGAGAGTTGGTGGCAACAGCCCCTCCCTGGCCTCAATGTGTCCTCAGGCCCAGCTGAGCAGTCGTCTCTCTCCTGAGTCTGCTGGCACCATGAACACAGGCCTCTGTCAACAAAGGGGCTTTTAACCCTACTCAGCAGTCCAGCAAGCATTCCAAGGGTGAAGGCCTTTGCTCCTTCCTGGAAATTCAGAGCAAAAATGGCAGCCTTGAACCCAGAAAGCAGAATGAGCCCTTCCCTGCTGAAAAGACCAGAACACCCCTAAAAGGTCAGTGTCTTTTGAAATAGCCTGTTCTGAAAGCACCAGACCTCTCTCTCTCTCTCTCCAGTGAGGGTTCTTGAGAATCCAGGGCTCTCAGAATTTTGGTCAATACCCATTCTGTTGTAGAAGTCTCCACTACACACATGTGCCAGGGGCCTGCTGTGTGCCAGGTCCACAGAGGGTCCCCAGCAGTGCACTTTAGAGGGTTTGGACTCACCTAGCAAAAGGACACATCAAAGCTGGCTTTGGGCAAGAACCAAAGTACACTTGGAACCAAGGCTGAGTGTCTAAAGTAGGCAACTTCAGAAACCAGAGCCCGCCTCCGAACCCGAGCACCTGCCCTCTGCCCTTGGCTCCGCACTGCCCACGCCCCACTGCTGCCCTTTGCAGCACAATGATGTCTCTCAGCTCTGCTGAGGTCGACACTGAGCAGCAAGGAAACACTGCCTGGTGCTTCGAGGCTTCCTGTGGCCAGCTCTACTGGCACCGGCTGCTATGGGTTTGTCTTCCACTGAACTGTGGGCTACTAGGACAGAGGCTTGGTCTGTCTTTTTTGCCTCTCCATGCCCATGGGAGGGCAGAGTACCTGGCTCAAAAGAGACTTTTTTTAGTGAATGATCTGACCTTGATCCCAAACCTATCTGCTCACAGACCTTCCTTCCTGCATTCCTGAGTGCCTGATGCCTCATTTCTTTAAGCATCAACCTCCACCACCAGCGATTCTTGGGCTTTGTTGGAAATATGCTATTTCATAAGGATGGGGAAACCAAGCCTTTCCCATCAACAGCTCCAGCAAGGCAGGAGTGGCAACTTTCTCTCCATTCCAGGCACATGAAAGTGCTGACTCTCTCCCCACCCACAAAAGACATCAATTGATCACAGCACCCTGGCTTAGCCCTGTCTTTTATCGCATTGCTCTAGGTTGGCATGAAAGATGATTTCTGACCTGGTAGAAACACGCTATCCATGGGGTGGTGGTACAGACAAATGAGGTAATAAATGGGACAGCTGTTAAATGTTCTTTTGTAAATCTTACACCCCATATTCAACTGTGGGGTGTGGTTCTCGTGCCACATGGGAGAGACTTCTGAGGACAGAGGGACACAGACAGGAGAATGGGAAATTTTGATCAGAAAACAGGGGAAACATGAGAAGACCAAAAAGGTTATTAAAGATACATCAAGTTATTGAGGAATCCCTTCAGCCGCATTATTCCTTCCAGAGACTGTGAAGCAGGCCACCACTGGGCATCAGGGAGGGGGACACTTGCTGGTTATAGCGTCTGTGGGGTGTCACAGGGGTCACTCAGCTTTTAACTCAAGGCCATGATTCCTCTCCATCTTCCTCTGTAGAAATGACCCCCTTTGGGCCACTAAGGCTTACTGTATTGTGTGCATCTGCATGTGTAAACAACAGGGAGAGAAGCCTACCCAGAAACCAGGGCCACTGGCCGGTGAGCAGGGGCAAAGTGACCCTCTACAGAAAGGGCAACTACAGGACCATGAAGCTCTTTAGTCACATGGAGGGCCTTCCTTCCTACCACCAATGAGGCCGTGTCTGCTCAGTGCCTGCGCCCCTCAAGTTAAGATATTTCAGAGGGCCTGCAGGCTAGAGAAGAAGTAAGGAGATGCTCCAAAGCTCTAGGTGTCCCGTAGCTGAAAGAACTGCACACAGCAGACAGCGTGCTTACTGCCCACGTCCTGGGCATCTTCATTCTGGAATAGGCATGAAATGGTAATGGCCAAACCCTTACCCCACCCCTACCACCTCCAGGCCCAACACCAAAGTGAGGAGAGGGCAACAGAGGTGAGGGAAAAAGTGTGCAAAGAGAGGGTACAGATGGGTAGGGGGTCCCAAAAGGACCTAAGCAGCAAGAGACCCCCACGCACAGGCCTCCAGCCCAGCAGACTCCCCTCCGCAAGCTGAGTCTAGCGGCTGTCCTAAGGTAGGGTGGTCATCTTCTGAATCCCAGGCTCACCTCCTGAGTTCTGAGGCACTGGCTTAGCACGCCCCAAACAACTGCCCTCCTTTGGGCAAGTGTCAAAGCCAGGGGCCAAACAGAAGTCTGCAGAACCCAGAACCAAGGGCAGGACCAGTGGGAGGGACCTTGATGCCAGGGTAAGCCCCAAGTTCTCCATCGAGACATAGGAGGCCAGGCCTGTGGCTCCAAGGCCCGAGCTGGGTATAACAGTCTCTGTGTTCAGGAGCTGAATCTTCATCCTCAGCCCCTCACTGGCTTCTGCTCTCCTCCTGGCCAGTCGGCTCCTTCCATGCTGATATGCCTCTTCCACATATAGCTTGCTTCTGCCTCATCAAATGCAGTCAGGCCCCAACCAACCAAGGTGGACAGAGAAGCTGGAGAGAAAGAACACTGGTTAAGACAGCTGACTTGCTAGGAATGAGGAGCCTTGAACCAGGCCTTCCCAGCCTCTTCTACAACAGAACAAACGAAAATAACATGGCCGCTCCTGTTACCCACAGGGAACAGATTCCAGGACCTTCCAGACACCAAAATCTGGGGGTTTCTTTCTGTAACAGGGTGTAGTTTTTACATACAATCTATGCAAACCTCCCATACGCTTGAAGCCATCTCTGCATTACCTTTAATACCTAACAACGTAATGTTATGTAAATAGTTGTAAACACTATATTGTTTGGGAAATATTAACAAGAGGTCTGTGAATGTCTGGTTAACATTTTTTATTCCCAACTATTTCACACCAGGAAGTGACTGAATCCACAGAGGAGGAAAAGGTGGATACAGACAGCTGATCACACATGGTGGCCAGTGGAAACGATTTCCTCCAGCCCCACTCTGGGACCTAAGAGATCAAGGTGGACCCATTCTTAGCCCAGTGGGTTTGCGTTATATCCAGCTTCACTAGTGTGGGGGTGGGGTGCAATAAACAGGAGTCTCAAAGGGGCTAGAGCACCAGCTGGGACCCCAGGCTCACCTGAACTCTGCTTGCTGGAAGAAAGATGGAAGGGGAGGTGGATGAGGTTCTGTGGGAGGTATACTTGGTCCAGAGGGACAAAAGCTTCCACTGCAGACGTTAAGGTCAGGGTTATATAAACCCCTCCTTGACCCAGCTCCAGTTCCCATGGGGAGGGAGCTGTATCTGGGGAAGAGGCCACAAGGCTAAGTGCCATGGCTTTTAGGTTCTATTCCTGGGCCCTCCCTTGAGCCATTCTAACCACAACCCCCCTCCCCCAACACACACACCTCACCCTTCTGCTCAAGGAGGATTAAGACATCACCAATAATAATTCATGGCCCCATCCTGTTCTCAGCTACCCATCCCCTCTTTTAGTTTCTCCTCCTCTGGCCCATCGGGCCTTGGCCAGCACTCATGGACAGGTCAGGCCCATCATCCCTGGCACCAATAGCCCTAGAGCCCCAAAGCCACTATCAAGAATGAGTTGTAGAGCACTTGGCTCAGCCCAGCCTTCCACTGAGGCCTCACGTGGGGAACTAGGACACCATGGTTTTGTTCCCAAGCCCTTATTACTCCTTTGATAATTACAAGATGGTGAGTTTTCACCTCAGTTCAACATTGAAATTCATTCTCAAAGAGTCATACAACACAGGAGCCCTATGTTGAACACTGGTTGAGCTCATGTTCACCCAGTTTTTGAGGAGGCCTATACCACCTGTGCACTCCCTTCCAGGACCCATCTTCCTCTCAGGCACATTAAGGGCTCTCCTGCCTGGTACCCTAGAGAAAAAGCCAGCTGTGCCCACTTGCCCAAGGGCCCAGGCTTCCCAAACACCTCCTCTCGGGATCCTACCCTCTGTTGGTCACAGCAACCTTTCCTATGGCTGTCCAGCTCTGGGGCGGAAGACAAAGCCCCTGGTTTTCTATAGCAGACAGAGGAAGAAGAGAAGGTTCAATGCTCTGGGGCTTACCTGACATGTCCTCTGGGCACGGACGTTGGGGGCATGTCGATAAAATGGTATGCCTCGTGGTTTAGGACACGAGGGTCCCGGTCCCAAGACTCTGCCGGGCCCGCACAGTCTGGATGGCCTGTTGATTCTTGAACTTGACCAGGCCCAGGGTGATCTGAGCGTTCCAGCCGGGGTCTTCGAGGGGGCAGCGGAAGTCGATCTCACCCCCGCCCTCGGTGACCAGCGTGAAGTAGATGTGGCGCCCGGTGCTCTCCACGCACTCCACGGCTTTGATGCGGGCGAAGCTGAGCTCCTTGGGCCGGCCGCCCGTGCCCTTGGCCTCGAAGAGCTGCAGCCCGCGCTCGGTGAGCACGCAGCGCTTCCGCTTCCACAGCTGCAGCAGCCCGCCGCTGCGCTTCTCCAGCACGCCCTCCTTCAGCACGGTGGCCGCCGCCGTCATGGGCGCCCCGAGGTTGCCACAGCGCCGGAGGCTGCGGCGGGCGCGGCGGGCGCGGCGGTCCGGCTCTGCGGCGCCGGCTTCACGCACCCCGGGCTGCTTGGCCTCGCTCTCTGTCCAGCCGAGCCTGCAGCCCCGAGCGCCTTGCGGACAGCAGCGTCTCAGTGGCGGGTACGGATGCTTCTCGCTCGCCGCCTGTTCGGGACCCTGCGCACCGCTCCGACCGCCCGGAGCCTGCCCGGTGCCCTGCGCCTCTCTGCCCGCACGCCCGCTCCCCTGGGCTCCGTCTGCGCGCTGGGCGGCTCTGGCGGGATGTGCCCTTACATGTTCCGCCGCTCGCCTCCTGCGCCGCCCGCCCGCCCGCCCGCCCGCCGCGCATTCCTGCCCCGCTGGCCCTCCCCTCTGCGCCGCGCACCCGCCCGGACAGGGCCCGGGGGGCGGGGCCGCAGCGGGCTCCAACGCCCACCGCCAGCGCGGCCCAGGGGAGGGGGCTGCTTACTCAATAGCCAGGCCTCTGGCCTGCGGGCTGCCCCATCTTAAAACACAGCCCCCCACTCCACCCCCAGGTCATAGGAGGAGGGGGAGGACCCAGAAAAGGGGAAGGGAAGGAGGACCGAGGAGCCTGGGATTGGGCTGGCTTGGAGACAGCGCAGTGGCACCACGGCAGGTGGGTGTCAGACACCCTCTGGCGGCTTCTCAGAAGCAGATTCCTGGTGGCCCCACCACCACCCCAGCCTCTGCCAAAAGTTAGTGTTGGGTTCCTCCACCATCAGCAGATGTCTCTCTGATGGCTACAGCTTGAACAACCTACTCTCCCACATTTACCTGCGTTTACTTGGGGTGCGGCGGGCGTTAGAAAATGGTCTGTAGGAAGTGGGGAGAGAGACATCTTGACTGATCACACGTGACTTTATAGTGGGAAGTAGAGACAGGTGCTGTGTGTTTGGGGTCTCCCACAGTTCTCCCCAGCATCTGGAGGGGACCAGCGCTCAGCCAGAGGACCAGCCCTGCCTAATGCACTCACTACTCTGCTTTATGGCTTCTCTGCAGATTCCACACCAGAGAATGGCTTCTCCTTGGCCACTAAACTGAAGGGAGACAGGCTTCCCTCAGGTTTCTTCGAACCACTCTGCATTGATGGCAGTATCTCTCCGACCGGGCCAACAGCTCTAACCTTCTTTCGTATTTTCATCTATCTATGAATGGGGTAACTAGTCAATCCTGATCTAGTAGGATTGTTGCGAAGAGTAAGCTAGCTACCATTTGTGAAAGACCCAGGACAGATGTGGCAACTCAGTTATTCCTTTCTTCCTAATGGGTCTTCCTTTAGAGAAGGTCAGAGCCTGAGAAAGATGGCCCTCTTAGGGACTCATCTGGCCCTCTCGGCCAACTCCGCCAGGCCAAAGTTTCTTAAATACCTATTCGCAGACATGCTAATAATAAATGTTCTAGGACTAATGATAAATGATAATGAGAGAAAGAAGGACAAGATGTACTCACGCCTCACGGTTCTGTCCTCGGGGAGGAGGAACTGACGGGCACGTGGGGGATGAAGTTGTGTACCCTCCCGGCAGAACCAAGCCAGCTGCTTCCGGGTCATAGCCGTGTCTATGTCTGTCTCTCCCTCCTTCTGTCCTCCAGCGCCCTCAGCTCTTAATCCCAGAATGCCACTTTAGAGAGAATAAATAGACAGTGCCTTAGGAACCCTGTCTTCCAGCTGTGCGTTACAATGGCTTTTTTTCACACCCTTCTTTTAGGGTCTCCTGAGTTCACCAACCTGGCAGAAGCCTGCCTTGGCCCAGCAACCTTCTCTCCTTTGGGAAATGGGTGGTGGTCATGGGAGAGTGCCCCATTATTCCCATCACTAATGCTTCCTTCTCTTTCATTCACGCTTTCTATAGCTACTGGATCCTTCTCAAGATGGAATTTGCAGAGCCCTCTCCCATGCTCTAAATTCTCATGAGAGATAGGTAATATTGTTTTGCTCACTTTTTCTCATGAGGAAAAAAAAAAGAGAGATAGAGATAGAGAACTCAAACAACTTAAACGGGACCCTGCAACGTTGTAAATGGGCAGTCTAGGATGTAACTGTATGATGGCTCATAGGACCCGGAATCTGCTGGCGACATCACACAGCCTCTCCGTAAATTATCACATGACATGGCCACCCACACTTTTTCCTTCCTGGCTGGAGGGCTGTAGGCTTCTAGGCAGTGGAGAAAGAAAAGGGGCATGGTTGGGCAGCAAGACAGTGGGCAAAGGAGCATAGAAGGAAACCAGTGGGGCTTAGAGGGCCTCAGACCACCACCATGTGTTTCCCTACCCCAGCACATTGTCCTAATGGCGAGAGTCGGTCCTTTGAATCCAGGAGTACTGACCTGCAATCATGGGGCCTCCTGCAGTTAGGAAAGAGAATTCAATTCCCCTGGAATTGGCATCTCCCCTGGAAGGGATACTCAGGTTGAGCTTTGATTAGTTAATATTGTGGGTGCAGGGCAGCCTCACTGTCAGGGTTCCCAGTACTTCTCCAGGAACAGGCACTGCTATTTGGTCTGCTCAGGCCACTGACCCAGGGAAAGGTTGAGCCCTGGGATTCTGATTGGACTCTCATTGGCCTGTTGACTCCACATGGGACAGATGAACAGAATGTCCCCTCTAGCAACCCAGAGCTGCTGTCCTCCCTTTGCCTGTACCAAACAGAAAGCTGATCTTCCCTGTCAGGCAAGCTGAGCCCAGCTGTTTAGTACTGACTGGAAATGCCCCAGAGTAGGGGGCAGGGAGTGAGCTGAGAACATCCATTCTACATACCATAAGGGAAGGAAGGATCACAGGGAAAGGAGGGCTGCAGCTGGATGAAGAGCTGCAAAAACAAACAGCAAAAACCCATCGTTGGCTTTATGCTTTTAATCATTTATTTATTTATTTTTAAATTTCATGTGCATTGGTGTTTTGCCTGCCTGTATGTCTGTGTTACAGACAGTTGTGAGCTGCCACATGGCTGCTAGGAATTGAACCTGGGTCCTCTGGAAGAGCAGTAAATACTTTTAACAGCGGAGCCATCTCTCTAGCCACATAGTAGGTTTTAAAAATAATTGTATTTATATTCCATGTTCAAGTATGCATGTGTGCGTATATGAGAGTGCCTATGGAAGCCGGAAGAGGGTATCGCATTGCCTGGGGCAGGAGTGTCAGGCAGGAGTGAGCCACCTGACATGGGTGCTGGGAACCGAACTCAGGGCTTCTGAAAGAGCACACGTGTTCTCAATTGTGGAGCATTCTCTCCAGCCCCAGAACTATTGTTTTGTATAATATTTACTTATAAGTTAAGTCAGGAATTAATACATTGCCAGACAAAGCAACTGCAGTAAAGATAATTTATCAACAGTATAAAATGTATAATGTGGCAGAGTGAAGCAGACCGTTAATAACTGCAAATAAAAGCAATAACTGCAAATAAAAACAAAGAGATAAAAAAGAAAAATTCAAGGTTGAGGCAGTGGTGGCCCATGCCTTTAATACCAGCCCTGAGAAAGTGGAGACAGGCTCTCTGAGTTTGAGGCCAGCCTGGTCTACAGAGTGAGCTCTAGGACAGTCAGACCTCTGTAGAGAGACCCTGTCCCAGAGGCCGGAAAAATCAGAGTTGTTCTCAACTTCTCTGTGAGATTACATAGTGAGTTAAAGGACTGCTTGGATACATGAGATGTGCCTTAAAAATAAATTTTAGACAGTCTTTCAAAAATGGAATATATATTAACACTAAAAAAAATTAAACTAATCCAGGGATAATGGTATATACCTCTAACCCCAGCACCCAGAGGCAGGAGGGCTACCACAAGTTTGAGGCTAGCCTGATCTACGTAGAAAGTTCCAGGCTAGGTTTGGCTAACTACCAAGACCCGTCTCAAAAAGAAAAAGAAAATGAACTACATAGATGATGACACTTCTTTGCCCAGGATCCACAGGAGTAAGGAGTGGCTGGTCATGCTGCCTGCAAGGCCCCCAGGACTGCCTCCTTCCTCCTGACCTTTGCACTTTGCATTCTAAATGAAGGGAGCATCCCTACATGCCCACTGGTTTTTCCTTACCTCCCTCAGTTCTTTGGTCCAGTAGGACCTTCTCTGTGAGATTTCCCCCAACACCTGCTTCAAACTTCCACCCTCTCCCCACAGGCACACTGTGTTCCTCTCCGTTTCATTTCTGTATTGCCCTATTTGGCTCTACTTTTCCTATTTATCTATTGTTTGTCCTGTGCTAGAATGTAGGCTTTAACCCAGCAAGAGTTTGAGATTTTCCTCATCCTCAGAGCTCCAGCATCTAGAATGTCACTTGGCTCACAGTATGGCCTCAGTAAACAATTTTTTGTCTGGTTGGGTTTGGTTGGCTTTGATTTGGTTTTAGTTTTTTGAGACAGGGTTTCTCTGTGTAGCCCTAGCTGTCCTGAAACTAGATCTGTAGAACTAGATCTCTTGAACTCATAGAGATCCCCTGCCTCTGCCTCCCAGGCGCTGGGATTAAAGGTGTGCACCACCACCTCCCAGGCCAGCCCTGGTAAACATTTACTGATGAGTGGACAAAATGGCAAAATACACCTAAAAAATTGGGAGGTGAAACAGCGCACTGCTGCTGAGAGCTAATGAACTAATTCAAAGAGATTTAAATCTGCCACCTAAAATTATCGTGAGGCTAGACCTGGCAGTTAACATCTGTAGCCCCAGCTCACAGGAGGCTGAAGCAGGATAACACGGAGGCTTCTAGAAATGCATAAGCCCTAGTCCCATGCCAGATCTCCATGTACTTTAGATAGCCAAGGTTTAGAGCAATGGTTCTCAAAACGTACTGGACCAGCAACATCAAAAAAGCAAATTCCAGGCCCCATCTGACTTCCTGACTCAGAGCCCTGGTTTTCAGGCTGAGCAACCGCTGATGCAGAGGAGGGAGCCCTCGGCTGGGAGACTGGACAATCAAAGAACGCACCAGCTCAAGCAGCACTTGGACCGCACCTCTCTACCTCACCCCCATTCTCACTGTGAAGTGAAGGCTGCCAAAGCTCTACTTTGCATAATCAATAATGATTTCCAAGAAAGCCTGGTTGGTCACAGGGCCTCGGAGCTCTTCAAATAGGTAAGAAAAGAAGAGCCTTGTTGGCCCCTCCTCAGCCAGGTCCTGGTTCCTATGCGTAGAAGCTGTCCACGCATAGCCCTGCCCCACTCTGCCCCTCTCTCTGCGTTCACCCTCCAAGTCACCGGTCCCTCCTTGTCCTCCCTTATCCCAGCGGATCTTTCCCCCAGACTTCTGATCCTCTTGTTCCCCTTGATGTGCAGCTCTTTTTGTTCAGGGATTTGGGGTTTCCTCTGCTG